ACCCTCTCGTCACCTCAACTCCTCACTTTAAACTCTCTCATTATTTTTCTCCTCTCATTTATTTAATCCATTAAAGACCAGTGGTAATTATATGCATACTACATCCTTTAACAATCAATAGCCATTTTATATTTACTACGTACAACACAAAATATTGACTATAAAGAAATTTTCTGTTAGACATCTAAATCATAATGTTCTCCAACTTAGGTCAAATGAAATGTTTGGTTACAACTATCACATGTTTTAACACTTGTTTGTAATAATATTCAGTCAAATAGGCCTATAGCCACTCGTTGAGATAGTTTTTAATAAAAAAAATGGCCTAATATTATATTTACAGGACTGATCCAACATTAGCTTCCAATTTTACGCGACATAACGACGAATATATTTCGTGTATCACTTTGAAAATGTAAAGTTCTTTCAGGCTCACTCTGTATATTACTACGATAAAAAAAGTACAGTCTTTCCAGAACTTTTACAGGGATTAGTCCTAGTGACGTCATTCTGTGAATACCGAATGCAGATGAGATGCACTACTGTGATCGAATTTTTAACCAGCTTTAGCGATATTTTAGAAGAAAACCCACGTGCAATGGGGAGACTTACAAATCTGTAAAATTTGTTTCCAGCCATGTTTTTTTTTCAGAACTACGTTACAAAATTTCTTATACGAATTTCTGTAAAGACGTTCACTGGAACTGACTGTACAGTATAGAACTAAACAATCTTTATTTATTTAAGATAACTTTGAGTTTCAACGTTCACAAATTGTGTACTGAGCTTGAAATATTATTTGTTAGAAAATACTAAACAAACGGAAATGTATTTGTTTTGTGCAGACTTATATACTAAATATATAAACATAAATGCAGCCATGTTTGTGAAAATAATAATAAATAATAATAATATCCAGCTTTAATTAAATGTAAAATAATAGTTTATATACAGAAATATAATCACACATAAAAAAATCAGGTGTTAAACGTTGTTTTGCTGACAGTGACTTATATTCGTAAACAAACTTAACTCAAATATTTAATGTATTACTTTAAATACGTCTATGTATTTGTGTCGTAGCACAGTTGATATTATAATGGCGGAATTATACAACAAATTTAAGAGACGAAATGCACAATAAAAATTTTAAGCAGGGTCGCAACATGAAGATCATATTGAATGGGAGGGGGTGGCATACTGAAGAAGTTGTAGGGATAGGTCATGGTTTTGCCAAGCCTTTCTTTTTCAACCCCCCCCCCCTTGCCTCCCACACCACTTCTCAACTCCCTCTTCTTCTCCACTCTTAAATTGCTCTTTAAAATTCCGACGTGTAGAAAGTTTGTTTTAGCAGCGACGAGAGTAAATGAGACGCCATAAAATCTCCTCGATGTAGGAAGCTTCTCTTTTTAATAGATTTTTGTCTCGTTCCCTTTCCTTCTTCGTTATGTCTCTCTTTCTTTTTCTATCTCTCTCTCTCTCTTGCATTCTTTGTAATTCGCTCCGGTTTCTTCTCTTCAGCGTGATAGTTTGCGAGTGCAAGAACCATGATTAACCCTGTTGAACAATTTTGACAAAATGCTAAAGAAGTCTCAAAGACGAGAAGAATTACATCCTAAATTGCGTGGAAGGAAAACAGGAACACGAAGTTTGTAATTTTGCTACTCGACGTAAACATAAAGGACTATTACATTAAGATAGTCTAATTAGAACTTTTAGCAGTTGGAAATATATGTGCCACCTGCTTTAAAAAGTCAGCAACTCTGTTTTGTATTTGTGTCTTTCGTATGATTCTCAATGTAAAAAGCGACTATTTCCTTAAACAGTGTTAACAAGTTAATCTTTGTAACGCTGAAGTGTCGTGTTTTCTTCGCGGTACGGACTGAGTTCTTAAATAATATTTAGACTGACTTCGGTTTCAGATGGTTCATTAGCAAATTCAAGAACAAAATTAATTAATTCGGAGTATCTGATGACTGACACTGTCTTCAAATTTAGCATAATTCAACCCTAACGAATACAGCACTTCATACACCGACCAGAAATTCCTGTCATTTTACAATCTCCTCAGGATGAAACAGTCAGGAGCGGATCAACTTTGCCTTAAATGGGATCTACTCACGGAGTACAGTACAAATTCGTTTCCCTCCACCTGACCGTATCAATCCTGCAGGCATACCTCCACGCCACCCCCTCCAACCGAATGTTACCGCCCTGCTCACTAATGTTAATACGATCGGTCACATTTGTCTGGGTTTCACGAATGGCGTTTCTACCACCACCATCACCAAACCCCTCACCCCTCAACCATCTCTAAGTCCTACTAACCGACCCTCCACCCCACTGCACCCTGTTCGGTACTATTACATTTTCCACCCTCGCCTTTTAGCTTATGGTCCCAAACTCACTGTCAAGAGAAGAGGGGGGGTGTTTCAAGATAAGGGATGAGGGGGCGTGGTCTCGTATGTTACGGAAGGGGGGAGGGAGGCGGGTTTTGTCGCCCCTGACCACTCACTGGTTCTTGTTTGCACCCCTTTCTGTCTCCCCCGCCAGCCACACGCTCATCTGACAGTAGCTAAGGTGGTTTCAAGGGGCGCTTGCCCAAGATGGGGCCACTCCTTCACGCTGACCATCCCTTTATACGAGGTCGCTAAACACTCAACGTCACTCAGAAGTAACAACAATTTCTTTTATGGTCAATCATAGGTTCCTCTACACACAGCGTACTGGCTGAGTCCCTTTTCTTCGTCAATATTTCTGCTTCGATTAGAAAATAATAACTTCCAGTTAATTATTTGTACCAAAGTCACTAAACAGTTAATGAAAATAACTGAAAATAAACGCGTAAACACTGCAGTGACCATGGTACAAATAACATACCTGATGATGATTAATTTCTATTCGAAACATGTAGTTAAAAGAAAAATATTTACGTCAGTTGACATTTCAAAAACACGTAAGATTAATTTTTTTTTTAAGATAGTGAGGATAATGTTCTTCTGGGTTTTAGCGCCGTGTACACATCGCGCGACCACCTACAAGACACCATGACGTAACCCTTAAGGTCGTAATCCGCATTTTCACAGCTTTGAAAACATAAACTCTCATAAAACATAAAATTATTTCTATGTGAAGATGACTGTCTTCTGGGTTGCAGCGACGTATGGTCTGGTAGAAGCTTACCGACAATTCTGAGGTACCTGCCGCCCTCATCATCAGAACGATCGTCTATCAGACTACACAGCTAAACAACCGAGTAGAAATTCTTCAACTCATTAGAAAATGAGAACGAAGTAAATCATCTGAGAATATTTTATCTGAGAGACAAAGAAGCCTGTAAATCTACATACGTGGTTATGAATTATAGAGATCATTATGTAGACCTATGTTTCAATTAGGATTTGTAGTTCTCACGGTGGTGAGTACAAAGATGGCTGTCTTCTGGGTTACAGCGCCGTGTAGTCTGCTAGAAGAATTTGTAGCAGACTACACGGTGCTACAACCCAGAAGACAGACATCAATGATTCAATTCTTTAAACGGCAGCCATATTGGACAGTCCTGACCGCCACCCGGAAGAATAATAATAATAATAAGAACAGCCAGGCCATTTTGTGTTTTTGTACGCTCTGGGGGGACCGTCATCTTCACGTTTCAATGGTCAATCCGTAACAAACCTTGAAACAACAAAAAAATGAGCAGGACACAACAGTGAAAATGTGACCATCTGCTTTTTGATGGAAGGGCTGGTCGCTCGCTACCTCTGCAGATAAAAGGGACGCCCTTAAGAGTTGGCGAGGTGGAATTGAAGGGCTCGTGCCTCAGACGTAATAATGAACTAACAACAGAACTGACCGTGGTTGGTTGCTCGTTCAGTCCAGTGCAAGGGGCTTCGGAATTTATTTCTCCCCCCCCCCCACCTTTCCTTATGTCACGACACTCACTCCCCTAGCTGAAGTACTTTGAGGCCCACAGTGGCGCACTCAGAGCGACAACGACTAATGTCGCAAATTAACATAGAATAATTTTTATTTTACGCAACTCAGACAGAATAAAAAATTAAATTCTACCAAGATGTCGTTAGGTTTTAGCGACGGAGTAACTTCAGCTTTCTGGGATGTTGAGTATTGTCCACCGTTTCGGCAAAAATTTCAGCTGCCATCTTCAGGGAGAATGTATAGTTTTTGGGCGATTTTGGAAGCAGTTCATAGAACAGGCAGTATGTGGTGAGTGAGGGTTGATTGGTGGAACAGAATAACAGGTTGAGATCCAATGACTACAGAGTTTGGCCACTAGGGAAAGATGTGTCAAAAATTTTAAATAACTCTAGTGAGGAAAGACATTTTGGTGACCATGTTTATTGGGAAAAGATTTTCCAGAGAAGGCAAGTGGCACTGTTTAAGAGAACCTTTTACCAAAAAAAATAAACAAATTTTGGAGACTTTTAAACAAAATACGGTATCGTGGACTAACTTTCATTTC